GGCTGGCTGTGTGGGCATAGTAAGTTCCAGTGCAGAGGGATGGCCCTATATTTTGGCCAGGCAGACTCTAGCTGGACAGTAGCTCCTTCTGTCTGCCCAGCTGTGGGGGCAACTCTGGTGTAGGGGCAGAGCTCTGGGTGGGGGCGGGGGGGCAGGGAGGAGATCAGTATTGCAATCTCAGACTTACCATGGCTGTCTGTAAGACCTTGGGCAAGTTGCGTAGCTGCAAGACCCTATCATCTCACCCACAAGTGGGATGACAATTCCTATCCTATGAGCACTAAGCTAGGAAATGAATGTAAAGGACTCAGCAGAAGGCCTGACCAACAAGGAGCTTTCAAGCTTACATGTGTCACACACTGACTTCTTATGCTACCCAGCTGATGTTCACCCCAAAGATCCAGCTTGGGAAGGAAGGCAGAGGCTGGCAGGATGGGAGTGACGGTTGATGAACATCATCAGAAGAGACCAAATCTGGGCAGCATAGCAGAGTCTCAATGATGATATGAACAGGGTCCACATCCCTTTCCTCCTTAACTGACACCTTGGGTACATTGATAAGCTTTTTAAGCCTCAGTTTCCTCAGCTTCTCTTAGATAGCGTTGCTGTGAAGATCAAATGAGATTAGGTAGGCAGAATGTCTGGATCATCACCAACTTTGATAAATGTTCTTAGCATCATGAGTCCCATCAGACAGAGGTAGCCCATTTCTCCCAGGAGATCACCAGCTAAAACTGTCAGGCAGTAAGCTTCCTCTTCTTTCTGCTGAGCCCACTTCCTTCTATGCCTGGTCTGTGGGGGCCTGGGACAGCCATGCAGACCCAGGAGCAGCAAAGACCCTGTCCAAACAGCCAGTTCCTCTCCTGCCGGCTAATAGGCAAGTAAGCCAGAGCCCTGATGGTCCTGTTGGAAAAACTGTTCAATTGTTTCTGCTTAACCATCTTGAAGGCCTGGGCCAGGGAGTATGCATAAGCAGCCTGCCTGGAAAGGTGTCACCACAGAGGTACCACTCTGGGACTGGGCAGAAGCCGGCAGCTGAGAGGGCTCTAGATAGTCAATCAGGATCTGGGGTTCCAAGCCCTGGTCTGCCACTTACCAGCCACATGCTCCTAGGCAAGGAATGTCACCTCTAGGATTTATTTCCTTATCTGTTCCTTATCTCTTAGAATCCCCAAGGTTCTATAGGGTCACGTGAATTAGCAGGTATGGAACTGGTGTGAAGATGGAGATCTGCTGGTGGGCTCAGGTGGAAAGATGGAAGGGAAGTATCCCCAGGATGGCTGGATGCTCCAGGTCCTGGAAGTCATTATCTGAAAGGGACTGACCTTTCTGTTCTCAGCCTGGCATTGGGCTGACATCCAGGGTTTGCCACCACCTTTCTTTCCATCCATTCTATAGGCCCATCTTCTCTTCAGAACCACAAATATGCACCAGACTTGGCCTCTAGGCGTTTGCTCAAGTAACATCCTCCTCTCAGCTCCTGGGCCCTCCTCCACTTGCAAAAGTCCAGAATTCTCTGATTCCTTAAAGGGAAGGGTTCTCTGTGGCCATGGACTTCAGTGAGACCTCTCTCTGAGCACTGGTGACATTGCAGTTTCTGTTCAGCTTATATAAACCTTTCACCTCTTTTTAAAGATAACCATGGAAAGGACCACCTCTGATTATGAGTATATATGGTGTGTGTGTGTGTGTGTGTGTGTGTGTGTGTGTATTCCAGCATGCATGTGACATATTTTAAAAATTTTCTTTCACATGGGACAAATGGTGTGTGATAAATAAAGTATCACAATTGGAAAGAACACGGGTTTTAATATCCAGTAGATAAGGATTCTAATCCTGGCTCTGCCATCCTAATTGACTCTGCCCTACCTATTGATGCCCACCTGGAGTGACCTTGAACATATTGTGGGTTTTTCTCAGTCTTGGCTCCTTCATTTGCCAAGACAGACTCATGATATTTACACTGGAGGGGTGTGGCCATGATTCTTATCCATGGGCACATGTGTCTGTCTCTCTGTGGAACTGTATTCAGCGATCTGAAAGGATGAGACTCGGTTCTGTTTTTGAGCATGCCAATGGGGCCAGTTACAGCAATTAATAACTCGTATTAACACTGTCATGAACATCCTATCACTTCTCTCCAGCTCAGAGAAGTATGCAGACATACAGATCTGGTCACAGTGCATCCCCCTGAGGACAGGCTCTAAGCGCTGACCGCTCATGTCTCCCAATCAGATGTGCCAGCTGCTTGAGTTCACTCACAAGAGGCGATGGGGACCCAGCATCCAGGCCTGGGCAGGAACAGGTATCTCCCTTCCTTGGTGATTATGACCTTACTGTTGATGTCTGGGGCTCTGCTGGGACCTGCATGCAGGGAGGCCCAGCTTGGCTGAAGCCAAGCCCCAGAGGCTGGGGACCTGGTCACCAGGGAGACCAATCCTCCTCCAGCCCCACTAGGAGCAGGAAATATCATTCGCAACCAGAAGAAAATGAACTTTGTTCTTTAGAAAACTGAGTTACAGTATTCCGAGTGTCTTTCTGGCATTCTAACCTTGCAATGTTGCCTTTACAAATTCAGAAGGCAAATGATCTTCAAAATGATGTGTGTACGTGTGTGTGTGTGTGCTTGCATGTGCACATGTGTGCACGTTCATTGGCTTATTGCTCTTAGACCTGGTCACATGGTCACTGACATCATTTTAATGTTGCTAAGTTGAGATACTTTCAAGTTCCTGACCAAGGACTCCTGCTTGAGAAGGTGATGGAAGCTTTTTGGAGTGTGCAGAAAGGGCCAATCTAGGGAGCTACTGACACCTGCTTCCTCCCTTACCAACTCGCCCATGCATGCTCTTTGAGCTTCAGTGTCCTTTGCTTGTCATTGTTGCAGGGATTAAATACAGTGTGATAATGTGTGCATGTGTTTTGTAAATGCTGAAGTGCTATGGGGGTTTAGTTAGCCCTTGACCTTGTGCTCCCTATACACACTGGTGATCCTTCAGCGTGTGCCTCCAGGCCAGAACATCAAGCCGTTGTTGGAGGCTGTGTCCAGGGTGCTGAGCAGACCTCCAGGTGAACCTCCAGCCGGCCTCGAGCCCACTTCTCATTGAGCGTGTTCCTCGGGCATCCTCCTAGATCACCCTCATTGGAGTTACCTAAGGAGCCCACAGACCATGCAGAGCCCAGACCTGCTGATTTGGAAACCTCAAGTATAACCCAGGAATCTCAATTTTTAACCAGTACCCCAAGTTTATCAGGTGAGTCTGAGAATCACCAACGTGTGAGAATCATGGACCCAATGGTGCCCCCCGAAATATATTCCTTGACACATTTACTCTCCAGCAGTGCGCACACACCCACCTCATGCCAGAGACTGTTTGTGGGGTCAGTCTTTGGGAGCAGGGGAGACGCACAGGTAAACATCTCACTCTGATGTCCCACACCAAGAATCTAATGAAGTCATGTATCCAACCCTGAATTCTGTGGGCCCCGGGAGGGGGCCAAGTGATGTGGAGACTGCTGCCACTAGGTGGGTTTCTTCCCCAGGGAGGCAAGGCTCTGCACACGCACCACAGTAGTTAATGTTCACCAGAGCTCTGAAAGGTAAAGAAGGAAACCGAGGCTTGACAAAGTTCAGTGACTTGCGCAGGGTCCTGGGATGGCAGCGGTGCTCTGGTAAGTGTTCGGTTAGCCTCTCAGGGTGGGGGCGGGGAGCTCAGATCCACACACCTTCCCAGCAGGGCCTTGGTAAAAGGACAGAAGGGCCACCGTCCTGAGGGTAGGCTTATACCTTGCATGCCCAGAGTCCCTGAGGCTGCTACCAAACCAGACCACCCACCGCCCTCCCCCTTCTCTGAAGAGCTTCGGCACATTATGCCATCCAGGTCCTTCATGAACTGGAACTTGCCGTCTCACCAGATCCAGGGCAGATGGTGTGTGTGGCTGACAGATGGCAGCAGCTGGATCTCAGGCTGGAGATGCCGAGCCACACCACGGCTCTACTGGGGCTGTCTGTGGACAGACAAGCTGGCCCACTTCGAGGGCTCAGGGTCAAATAAAGGCCTCTCCTGGCTGAGGGGGATGCCCAGAGGTTGTCACGGTGAGTTGCAGCATCCCCTCAGCAGACTTGAGAAGCTCTGGCTGAAAGGCGATGGGGAGGGGACCTGGCAAACTGAGCACCCCCAGGAGCACGGCAGGTGCACTGGTCACGCAGGACGGAGAAATGTGGGTTGCTTCGGCTCTCAGCCAAAGGAGCCTCCCTGAGTTCCCCCAGCTCAGCCTGCAGAGGGAGGAGCACACCGGCCCCGGGAAGCATCTCGGGCACGGGTGGGCAGGACCTCCGTGTGGAGGTCTGACCCGGCTGGTGCTCAGGCTGGGGCAGGTGGCACTGAGGCGTGGAGGTGCCCAGGCATCCTCCCTTCTCTCAGACAGACTTCCTGGACTCAGCCTGTCTGGGGCGCACACAGGGGAGGGCTGGAGGGGCGGAGGAGCTGCAAGGAGCCAATCACCCCGCACCGGAGCCTTCAGGCCGGTTCCCTCGGCGTGTGAGAGAGTGTGCGCGCCCCGGCGGGGATTTCTGCGATAGAAGCAGCCGGATTCCGGAGAGGGAGAGAAGAGGAGGGGGAAGAAGCGGAGGGGAGGAGAAAATTGGGGGTGGGAGAGACAGACGGAGAGAACAGCAGTGGGAGAGAGGGAAGAGAAGCGCAGCCAGGAGAGAGAGGGAGGGAGAGGGAGCGGGAGCGGGCGGGAGCGAGCGAGAAAGTGGAGGGGAGAGCAGCAAGGGAGAGCGCGGGGAGCGGGCAGGACGAGACAGAGCGAGAGCGAGAGCGAGCCGGGGAGCCGGCGGGCGCGGCGGCGGCGGAGGCAGAGCGCGGCTGGAGGGATGGGGTGAGGGCCGCGGGGAGCGGAGGCCGAGCCGGCCGCGGGCGGGCGCCGGGCAGCCAGCTCCGGGGCGCGGGCGCGGGGGGCCCATGGCGGCGGGGGCCGGGGGGGCGCGGGGCGGCGGCGGCGGCGGCGGGGGCGCCATGGCGGCGCCGGGTGGCGGGCCCTGAGCGCCGCGGCGGGCGCGCACCATGAACTCGTGGGACGCGGGCCTGGCGGGGCTGCTGGTGGGCACGATGGGCGTCTCGCTGCTGTCCAACGCGCTGGTGCTGCTGTGCCTGCTGCACAGCGCCGACATCCGCCGCCAGGCGCCGGCGCTCTTCACCCTCAACCTCACGTGCGGCAACCTGCTGTGCACCGTGCTCAACATGCCGCTCACGCTGGCCGGCGTCGTGGCGCAGCGGCAGCCCGCCGGGGACCGCCTGTGCCGCCTGGCCGCCTTCCTCGACACCTTCCTGGCCACCAACTCCATGCTCAGCATGGCGGCGCTCAGCATCGACCGCTGGGTGGCCGTGGTCTTCCCGCTGAGCTACCGCGCCAAGATGCGCCTCCGCGACGCCGCGCTCATGGTGGCCTACACGTGGCTGCACGCGCTCGCCTTCCCCGCCGCCGCGCTCGCCCTGTCCTGGCTCGGCTTCCACCAGCTGTACGCGTCGTGCACGCTGTGCAGCCGGCGGCCGGACGAGCGCCTGCGCTTCGCCGTCTTCACGGGCGCCTTCCACGCGCTCAGCTTCCTGCTGTCCTTCGTCGTGCTCTGCTGCACGTACCTCAAGGTGCTCAAGGTGGCTCGCTTCCACTGCAAGCGCATCGACGTGATCACCATGCAGACGCTCGTGCTGCTCGTGGACATCCACCCCAGGTGAGGGGGCGCAGGGGGAGGGCCGCGGCGGGGGGGGGGGGCGCGGTTCGGGGAGGGCTCTTGGTGGGAGGGAGGGGGTCCTTGTGTCCTCCCCCCACCCCCACGACCCCCAGCGTGCGGCCTCAGGCAGGCCCCTTTGCCCCGGAGCCTCCATTCTTTTCTTTGGAAAACTCAGGTTGGGGGGAGGGACCAGGGCTGCCGGTCTCGGTCTCGAGGCAGGTGCTTAGAGAACCACAAAGCCGGGCTACCAAAAACGTGCGTGACACAGTATGTATGTGTTTTGAAGTCTCCGGGTACAAAGAGTCAGAACTTTGTTGGAGGAATGCTTCTTTGAGATGCTTGTGGATTTCACTTTTAACAGCCTGGCGGGGAGGCAGGGATCTGTGTTCACTGCTTGAGCTAGTTAAGAGGTTCTAATCAGCCCTGAGACTGTGGCTTAGATGCTGGGGGAAGTCCCTGGAGAGCTCTTGAGGTGGGAACGTGCTGCTCTTCTGGGTCTTTCCTTCCTCTGGTGTCTGGTGCTGCCTCTGTCTCCAGATTCTGTGTCTGTGTGTGTGTGTGTGTGTGAGAGTTCTTGGGCTGCACCTTCCTGTGTGGATCCTTAAAGGAGCATCTGAAGGGCTCTGAGGGAACTGGAGGGGGATTCCTCCTGCTCTTGCAAACAGCACTGCCCTGTGTGTCCCAGACTTGGAGACCAGAGACCCCTGCAGAGGGAAAGTGTCATCCACAAGGCTCCTGGGAAAAACCTGTCCACACTGCCTTCACCCTCAACTGGCCTCTGTCTCAGAAAAGCAGGTCGGGCGACGGGGGCAGTTCAGGGGCAGCTACCCGTTAGGAAGTCCTGCCATCCCCTGGAGCATCTCAGGGAAGGAAGGAGGAAACTCTTAGCTGAGGTGTCCTGAGCTCACTTGGCTTCCCTTATGAGAATAGGACCCTAAGGAAGGAAACAGCCAGTGGTGTTTCTGAGGACTTTGCTGTTTTATATCTCTCCATCCCCCGGGAAGGGCAGGCTTCCCTTCTGGTGCCCAGGACCCTAAATCAGAGGGCTTTGGCTTCCAGATGGTGCAGAAAGTGAGGTAGACAGAGCGCTCCTAAGGGAGGCAGCTGGGGGCAGTGAGGGAGCGGGTCTTTGGGGTATGAATGCCCCTCCCCACCGAAGGAGATGCAAGCTCGTGGCTGAGGGGGGCAGACCGCAGGCGTCAGTCGGAGCAAGGGCTCCTTCAATGTGAGCTGTTTCTGCCCACGAGCAATAGAAAGAAGAGCCTTAAACTCCACTGCGTCTGCACAGGCAAAGGCGTGCGTGTGCGTGGGCATTGTTTCGCCTCAGGATGGCCCTTCCTCCTTCCGGGCTGGGCCAAAGCTTCCAGCCACAGAGTCTTCCCAACGGAATCATGTGCAGTATTCACACCCGAATGACCGAGAGCACAAAGACCCCAGGGCCTGTGAATCCGTGCCTGTGAATGTGTGAGCCACACGCACCCAGTCGCATATGCTCATGTGTAAACTGCATGTCTAACAGACCGGTGGCCACATGTGCACCTGTCACCGGGGACATGCGTGCACACTGACCACAGTGACCCGGGCTGACTCACGGCACATGTCGTGGCTCAGTGTCGCTCAGGGAAATCTCCCCCAGCCACAATTGCAGAGCTCGTCCCCTTGCCCTCTCCCGGGGCAGGAGGACCTCACTCCGGAAGGTGCATCCCTAGGACCTGACTGGGGCTATTTCAGAAGCTGAGGGAGTGTTGTTGAACACCAGCACTAGAACGATTGCTATCCTGGGCCCTCCCACCGTGAGTCTAAGCAGAGAAGGCGTTGAGCCAGGAAAGGGATCCGTTCTTACTCAAACCAGTACAAATCCCATCCCTGCTGCCCTTCCAAGTTCCAGAACAGGAGGAGCCATGGCTCTTTTTAGCCCATTTGGGATATGGGCCCATCTCCACTCTTGCGAATCTGTCACTGACTCCAGGCCGGCATGCTCCTTCTATTCCCCTCTGGGCGAGCCTTGACCTCTTTGAAGGCCTGAGATGCTTTCTGGAGCCCCGACTCCCAGTGCCATGGGGTCCTGCCGGGCCAAGGGATTGCACTAGTCTGCGCTGGGAAGAGGAAGGGCTTCTGGGGCAAGGATGGCCCTCGGCCAGTTCAGACAGGCCCCACTGGCCAAGGGCCGGCCTGAGGTTATGGCATAGCAGGCAGATGGGACAGTACTGTCCCTTCAGTGAACCCCACACACCATCAGTGCAGAGACGGGTCCTCAGAGTGAGAGGGTGGGAGACGGGCCACACAGGAGGGCTCCAGCTTCCTCGCAGCGGATCCGCAGCTTCTTTCCTGGCTGCTCCAAACTCTTCCTCTGCACAGAGGAGAAACCACAGAGCTAGCTCTGTGTGATGGAGAAGGGCTGCCCCTCGAACACTCAAGCTCTAGGCACGAAGGTTCCGGAAAGATCAGCCAAACCTCCTGGGCGGGTTTGGTGCTGACAGCCAGGAGCCCCTGGGGATGAGCAGAAGCCAGGCTTCCTTATGTGGACAGCCAGGGCAGCGGGGGGAGTCTTGGCTCCCTGGAAGTTTTCGTTGACAGTCACCACACTATGGCCTCCTGGGACTTAATTAGGAGGGACCCGTTTTGAGTTCCCTGAGGTCCAGGGTGACGTTTGTCAGAAAGCTCCCTGCTGGGGCCTGCTCTTCCCACAGAGTATTTAACGCTGTGAGTGGCAGGCTGGACTGCTTTGTTGCGACACCGCCAAAAGACCCTGTGTTTTCAGTTTAATCTGTCCTGAGAGACGTTCCCCACTCCTGTCTTCCTGTGGTGGTTTTTCAAGTTGTGACATTCGTAAAGCAATTAGGAATTCCTAATATTTATTACCCACCTGGCCCTCCGATCGCTCAGCTTGCTCGGTTCTATTTTCCCAAACCACAGCTCCGGACGAGTGATGGCAGGTCCTCTCCCCGCTGTTGCCAGAGACGTGGGATTTCACCTGAAGTGGGACCTAAGGGGGGTGCTGGGGTTTCGACGTGGCATCCCTGCTCCCCCAGTCCAGCTGAGGGTTGCTACTCACCCGGGTTGGGTCAGGGGCTTCCCCACGGGACGCTGAAGCACACTCATCCCTGTGATCGCCGTCTGCAGAGTGCTGGCTAAAGGGCCGACCCTGGAGGGCATCCAAGCTTTGGTGTAGGAGTTGGAAGGACCCACAAGATACACTCACTGTGCCCTTGATTCTACAGGTGAGGAAATTGGGAGACCCAGGGAAGGAGGCCGAGGTCATTTGCCTAATATAACAGATCCAGGATGTGGCTTGAGCCAAAACTTGTGCCCAGTTCTGCCCCTGAGATTTCTAGATGGGACAAAAGTGCAAATAGAGGCTCACAAACCATTTATATAAATATTTAGAAGTTCTAAATTAAGCTTACAAACTGTTAAATGAAATATGTTCTATCCTCCTACCTTGACAAGCATACATTTATAACACTCTGCAAGGCTGGGTTCAAATTTAGAATTCTCGGGCTCCTTGGAGTTCAGCCTCGTCCGTGGTGGGGAGAGCTGAGCCGGCTCCAAGCACACAGCCCCTGCTTGTGCTCTCCACCCCGGCTCTCCCCAGCACCCTGAGGAGCCTCCACCCCTCAGGCTCCAACCCGAGCACACCTGTGGCATTGTCACCCCTGGGAGGATTGGCCTGGGGAGGACGCCTGCTCACGTCCTGGAAGCAGGATCACGGCATCTGAGCAGGGAATTCAGTGTTCTGGATACTTGGAGCTTGATCTAGAATGGATGGTGTGGGCTCTGGGTGGGCACATGAAGTCTTCACTTCATGGAGAGGGACGTAGTCCCCTCACTGTTCAGGACCCAGGACAGGGCCCCCTCTTGTGAGATCTGAGGACAGGACTTTTCACACTAGCGTCCTGACCCCAGACTCAAGGTCTGCTCTACCGTCCGTCAGCCTGTTTCCTTGCCTTTTGTTTGTTATTTTAAAAGCCAGAAAACAATCTGGATTACCCTGGGAGTACTTGGAGCATGCGCTGAAGACCGATTGCGGTCATCTAGGGACCATTCAGGGCCCAGACCATTGTGCTGGGCACGGCAGTGTCTGGGACTGGAAGATTTTGGCTGTGATTGTCTCATTTACTCACTTCAGATATTTCTGGGCTTCTCTGTTCATTCTGCCATTTATTGGCGTCTACTGGGGAACATCTCTTTGGCCCCATATGTCATAGTGCCGGAAAGCCCATCTCTTTATCACAAGGAAGATGTGTCCTGTGGCAGTTCTCGGGAAGCCCCATGCCGATGCATCAGCTTGTACTCTAGGAGGACGTTGCTGGCCAGGGAAACTGGGGGACCCTCACCCCTGCACTCCAGAGTCAGCCTATAAGCCTGAGGACTCCCGCTGCTACCCCTGTGCAACATCTGGCGAGTGCATCCGTGCAGTTGGAGCAGCTTGCTTATTTCTCTGTGGTCCTAGGGAGGGCAGTGGGATTTGGGGGAAACACCCCGGACCCTGGAGCCAGGAGTCCTGGTTCTGTCCTAAGCTCACTATGGGACCCTGAGCATGTCACAAACCTGGCTGGCCCCCTGTGTCCTCATCTGCAAATAAATAAAACAGCAGTTCCCAGGGCTACAAGACTTCAAGAAGCTCCGTTTTGCAGAGCTATGGTGGGGGAAAAAATGAGAGCAAGTAGAGGGTGGTTTTATTCTGTTGTTCTGGGTACAGGCAAGCTGCTCTCATACTGTGCTTCACAATAATGATAAGCAAGAAGGTTGCATGGCTGCGTTGGCCTCCTTCTCCTGCCATCCCCCCTGGCCTTACCTGGAAATCCGGGGAGCTCTGGGCGGGGAAGATGGATCCCTCCTCTTGCAGGAGTTCAGGGAAGCATCCATGTGCTTCCTGACCAGGAGCGCCAGACCGGCATTCAGTAACCGGGAGCTAGCTCTGCCAGCATCTCACTCTCTGGGGGAGAGCAGCGAGTTCCTCCCTTCTCGGAGCCTCATTTTCTCCATCTGTGAGCTGGGTCAGGTGGATGAGGGGGTTTCTTGTACTGTGCATGACTATGTGAGGTCTAGGCAGTGGGGTCTAGGCAGTGTGTCTCAGAGAAGAGGTGTGACTAGACCCATGTGGATGTGACCCAGATATGGCGTCCACCTTGGACACCTGTGGCAGGCCAGGGGCCATTAAGACAGTTTCCACTGGGTTCCTGGGGGCCAGAGAGTGTCATGGGGTCAGCACTGGAGTCAGGAGTCAGGTCAGACCTCCTCTGGCACGGCCCCTGGTTGCGTTTCTCTCTGTCTGTCTCTCCAACATGCACAGGACAGAAAGAAAACTTTTGCAGTGGGAGGGAGTCCTGTGGTTTTGGAGTTCCAGAGGATGCTGGAACAGCTGAATAGATAATAATTATTGTTACTGAGGGTTTACTGAGTCACACATTGTCCTAGGTACTTTTTGGATGTTAATCTCTGTAAGGTCCTGAGATGAGGAGGCTGATGAACAGAGAGGTTGGGCAACTTGCCTAAAGCCACACAGCAATTAAGTGGTGAAGTCTGGATTTGAACCCAGACATTGGGCTCTGGGGCCACACACTTACTACCACACTATTCACAAAAAAGGACTCCAGGTTAGTGGAAGCTTTCACTGCCTTGCTTTGTCTGGTCGGCTCAAGATTTCTAAGGCTCACTAAAAAAAAAAAAAAAAAAAAAAAAAAAAAAAAAAAAACCTATTTCAGAACAGGTTTCTCCCATCATCTATTTTTGAGGAGGTCACTTAAAAAAAATGATTGAGACTTAATTTTCTAAGTTTTTTTAAGGGTTCATCACTTCACACCACATAGAGTGATCAGGTGTTTTCTGGATGTCAGATGCTGAGATTTGAACCGCGGGCACCCACGGAAATAACGTGTCTGCAGAGTGCTTATGATGTGATGTTTTCTGCTGGACAAAGCTTTGCAAGAACAGAGAGAATTATTCCCCATAGATTTTGACAGTGTACAGCAGTGACGTTGGTCATTCTAGCCTGTACAGTGTCCGATTTTCTTCCTTTAAGGTCACCGCAATATGTTTGTTTACCTTTCCAAAGACCTCCGAAGCTTTTACCAATATCTGTTTTTAAGTGTTCCTTGTGTTGTTAAGGAAGGACTGTTGGGTGCACCAGGGAGAGGGGAGACAACTGGGTCCTCAGCAGTGAGTATAGTCCCTCCTGGGGGTGCCGGAGGGAGCTTCTTACTCCTCAAGAGCTTGCTAACAGTTGAGTCATTTCTGTGCCTGCTAAATGGTAGCTCTAGTTACAGCTGTCATGAAATTCCCCTTGGATAAATGAGGAACCAGATTCAGAGAAGTTTATTGACTTCCCCAAGGCCACACAGCAATGAGGGCAGAGCTGCGACTAGGACATCTCTGTCAGAGCTCTTTTGTTCACTGGGGTTATTCTGAAGCATCTGAGAAATGGACAACATCGTGAAGGTCACCGATGGGAGGAGGGCCCGCCCCAGTGCTGACATCAGTTGTGGTGCTCAGACCTCTCTTTAGGGGATGCCTAGAGTGCTGTACGCCTTCATGGGGTGAGTGCACATGATGGCTCAGAACACCCAGCTCGTGTCCCAAATCTCCAGCGATTCTCAAGTCAATTGCATGAATGTTTGGGGGAAATATTTCAATATTAAGACAAAAGTGCCTGTGTTATGGGGAAGATACCAAACCCACTGTGCCCTAAGGTGGCCATTGTCCTGGTTTGCCAAGTACTGATGGGGATCTCCGAGGACGCAGGGCTTCGGGTTTTAAAAACAGGACAGTCTCAGGCAGACCAAGATGAATCGGTTTCCTCACGGCACCCAGACCTCCTGGGTGGGGCCCTGTGCCTTCTCTCCACACCCACCCATATTGTGCACATGTTTTAAGAGCCAGAGGACGTTGCTAGAAGACTCAGCAGAGACCCAAGTATAATGGGGAGCCACGAGATTAAGACTGACTCTTGCTTGATGATCTCAGGCAAAGTCCCCCAGTCCTCCTGCCCCAGCAGCTGTATTCTTCAGGTTTTCTGGATTAGATGATGCCCTCGTGCCTCCCATGGGGTTGGTGTAGACATCCACCAGTTGGAAGATGACGCTCAAGCCTCCAGAGTCAAATGGCCTGAGTTCAGATCCTGCCATCACCTGGGGAGACTGACTATCCTCATTTGCTCTGGGTGGAGGGGGTTTTCCATTTTAAAACTGGGCCAGTCCCATGCAAAGCATCCAGGATGCAAGACTTTCCATGCTAAAACCAGGACAGTCCTGATTCCCCAGGGCAAGTTGGTCATCCTATCACCACTACTCACCAGCAGTGTGATCTTGAACAAGTTACTTAACCCCTCTGTGCCTCATCTGCTTATCTGAAAAAAAGAAAAAAAGATAATAGTTGTATCAGTCCTCAGTGTATATAGACGTTGTGAGCATCAGATAACCAATGCACATGAACCTCCATCAAGGCGTCTAAAATGGGACAGGTTACTCAAGAAATGTGGACTGTTATTATTATTAGTTATCAGAAATTAATTAGTAACGTGATTTAATAGTAATACTTCTTCAGCCATTGTGAAGCCTGTTTGTACCAAACCAAACTCCAGTTCCCAACTCTACATTCCAAGGCAGGGGAGTACAGTCCTACAAGAATTTCAGGGGCCTTCCGTCCAGTCTAACGTGGAATTGTCCATCTGAGATTGGAAATACGGTGATGGAGAGTTCCGATTCAGTGTTAAAACGATGGTCCTTGTGGAAGGAAGGGGAGGCCACGCTGGCATTCATGCTGCTTGTGGTCCTGGCTTAAGCACGTCCCTCTGCTCCTTGCTTTCCTTGCACAGACTGGCTTAATGCTGGAGCCGGGGCTCTACAGCCAGGGCCTAATTCAGACAGATTATCTCCACTTCCTGGGCAGCTCTGTCTGCGGTCTTCCTCCTTGTTCATTTTTGGAGTGATGGGATTTATTTAAAAAATCAACAGTAGCCTCTGGACTCCGGGAAACAAACTGAGGGTTTCAGAGGGGAGGGGTGGGGGGATGGGTGGGCCCGGTGATGGGTGTTGAGGAGGGCACAGGTTGCGTGGAGCCCTGGGTGTTATACGCAGACAATGAATCATGGAACATGGCATCAGAAACGAATGACGTGCTGTGGGATGACTAACAAAACATAATAAAACAATTTTTTTTCCGGGGGGGGGACATTAAAAAAATTAAATTATATTAAATAAATACAAATAAATACAAATGCAAATAAACAGTAGATAAGGTGTCTGGGTGGCCTTGTCCGTTAAGCGTCCGCCTTCAGACTTCTCCCTGTGACCCCCAAGGCAGCGTCCCTAGCTCCAGGCAGGTCGTATCTCAGAGTCCTGGGATCGAGCCCCGCATCAGGCTCCCTGCTCAGGGGGGAGCCTGCTTCTCCCTCTCCCTCTGCTGTTCCCCTTGCTTATGCTCTCTCACTCTCTCTGTCAAATAAATAAATAAAATCTTAAAAAAATAAAATAAATAGTAGAAATGCCTGCTCACATGGAACCCCATGGAATAGAGCTGGACTGGCCCTCGGGCTCTCTGATGGTGATAACGGACAGCTCGCTGGTGCTCATGAACTACTCTGTGGCTACAGGAAACGGGTTGCACAGACCACTTCTCTCAGTTGGCATGAGATGTCTGTTCTCAGACGTCCCTGGAGCCAGTGGAGTCAGGACCAGGGTGTGGTTAGAAGCTTAGGCAGCAAGCTCCTGATTCCATCCTCAAAGCTGTGACCGTGATTTCCCAGAGTCTTAGTCTCTTAGCTTCACTGGTCTTGGTCCCTGAAGGAAACAAGTGACTTCTCCCTGTGACCCCCTAAGGTAGTGTCTAGAGCTCCAGGCAGGGCTGAGGCTTTGGGATGGAAGACCCAGGACTGAAAGCATGGAGTAAAGGAAGGGTCCAGGTCAGCCCAGATATAAAGGACCAGCTTTGAGAAACCCGGATAAGGGTTCCAGTCCTGTCTCCATTTATCAGCTGAGGAAACCTGAGCTCATAGTTTTTGCTGTAAAACAGGGCCAGTAAAACCCATGAGGCAGGTCAAACACACCTGAATATCAGTAAATATCAGTAAAGACAAGGATGAGAGAAACTACTCAGAGAACGTAGACTCTGGTGCTGGCTTATGGCAGGTGATCAGTGAATTTCATAAGTAATCATAATGAGAATTGATATTTACTTGCACTTGGGCATTGTGTTAATTGCTTTATGTGTTTTATGCATTGAAGGCATTTTGTGTGTCTGTGTGCTTTTTGCATTTAATTCTCCAAAGAGCCCTTGATGGCATTTTATTACAATGCACATTTCACAGATGATGACCCTGAGGCTTAGCGATGTCACGCATGTGTCCAAGGCCATGACGTGTCCAAGGTCACACACCTATGGCCGGGACTTGACCTCAGGTCTCTCTGGCCCCTCCCTGAGCCCCTGCACTCAAGGCCCTGCCTGTGTTCATTAATAACAAGTCATCTTCCCCTCTCTCACGCGCAGTGTGCGGGAGCGCTGTCTGGAGGAACAGAAAAGGAGGCGGCAGCGTGCCACCAAGAAGATCAGCACCTTCATAGGGACCTTCCTTGTATGCTTTGCACCCTACGTGATCACCAGGTGAGTCTGACCAGCGGGACTGGGGCTTTGGGGAACAAAGCAGGGCCCGTGTGACCTGGAGCAGTCACCGGCCTCTCTCTCGGACACATGTTTCCAGAGGGTGGGGTGTTGGAGGTGACAGTGAGCATGACAGGTTTGGTGAGAAGGAGGGCACATGCTTTTTCTTTTCAGCCTTCAGAACCAAAGGGATGGGAAAGACTCTCCCCTTCATTCCCAGATCACATCATCTAACCCTGTAGACCAAGAGCCCCGAAAGGAAAGGAAAGGAAAGGGAACGGGAGAATGGACAGAGGAAAACATCTTGCCTTGGTTGGATTCCTACCTTCCCCTGAACACAGTGTGGCCCCGTCCCCCGGGCGTCCTCCACCTGGACACCCCGGTCAACAGCAGGCAGCACATAATCATCAGCACAGGGGGTGGGGAGCACGGTCCGAGTGCAGCTGGGGGGGCCTGCTTATCCAGGCACTCTGGGGATCTCCCACAGTGCAGGCGCTGTGAGCTGACCCCCTTTGCTCCTGTCCGCCACCTCCCTCCCCAGCCCCGTACTCCAAGGCACAGCTTGCTGGCCACATGGTCCTGCATTCCAAAAGCCAACCTGCTCTAGGTGTAGGATTTCTCTCTTGTGCTTTAACCAGACAAAAAAGTATCATCCCATCAGTCTTACACACTGGAGGGGAAGAAAAACCACAACCCTGTTTCCAGAATGGCTTCACTATTTGGGAAGTTGACAATAAAAAGGGACTTTGATGTTTGAGTAGGAAGGGGATGTTGAGCCTGGGAAGTAGGATATGTGTAGGGTGTGCAAGTGTGCAGTGTGTGTGTGCGTGAGAGAGAGAGAGAGATTGAAAGCGGACACAACCCAGCATCCCAGCATCCCAGCATCCCACAGCATCTGCAGCTGGCAGGGGGAAGGGACCCCCTGCCTCCCTGTCCCCTCGAGTGAGCTTGCATGCTCTGGGAGGAGGAGCCCACCATAGCCAGAGCTCCCTGTTCCTCCCATTCATCCTTACCCTGAGCTGACATCTGTTTCCTGTAGTTCCATCCGCTTTCTTTGGCCCAGGAGAACATCTGTCCCCTCCCCCTAAGGGCCCTGCTCCCCCACGGCACCCCCATCTTTGCTCCTCTTGGAGTGTCTTCTACTGTCTCTTCACAGCTGCTTCCTCTGGGGGAAATCTCACTTTGCATGTAGGACCTGAGACAGTCTGCTGGTCTCTGGGTAGGTCTAAGGTGGGCATAACAGAGCCGTTGGCTCCTCCTTCTCGAACTGTTGACCAGATTTCCCCACTACCGACATTTTGTATGGGATCCCCTTTGTGGTGGGGCTGCTCTGTGCATTGGAGCCTGTTAGCAGCCCTGTTTCTTCTACCTATGTCTCACCACTACTTCCCTCCTGCACCCCAGTGTTCACAGCTAGAAATGTCTTCAGACACTGCCCTGGGGATCAGCATCACCCCTGGGCAGAACCCTTGGTCTAGATGTGCCACATCCAGCCAGGATGCTGAAGCTTGCAGAGATCAGGTTTTCCAGGGGACACGAAGCCTAGGCAGAGGCAAGTGGGTTCCTGTTGCTGTCCAAGGGTGAGGCCGCAGGGTGGTGACCAGGACGGGCTCTGAAATGTGCCCACGGTGGGTTCAAACCACAGCAAAACAAGTTCTTGCTGTGTGACCCTGGGCCAGTGACACCACCTCTCTGAGCCTCCAGTCTCCCATCAAAGTGAGCAGTGCCTGACACTTAGGCTTGTTTTAAGGACTGAAAGGCTTTGAGCATGGAGATCAAGGGCAGCCCAGGCCTGGCATGGGTGACGTCTGTGCTTGGCCCTCCCTCACTCGTACTTGGACAGGCTGGTGTGTGCAGTGAGGGGAATAAATCCAGCGAGGAAAGAGACAATGGGTGGGGAGGGCAAGCAGACAGCTCTCCTCTTAGATCCCACTGGAAAGGGGACCTGTGGGCTGACGATGGGAACTTGAACCCTCAGAGGAGAATAGGTAATGTGGCTCCAGATTTAAACTATTGGATTTTTCTCTGGCTTAATCTCATTTCCCAACAAAATTTTCCTTTTTTTCTGATTATAGCTTGGTTCCTCTAATGGTGCCCAGAAAATAACATTTCAGTAAAATTGATGGTAGATTCACAATGCAATATGTTCCCTCCAAATGGATTTGATGCATTTGGGGTTTTTAAAAATACTCGCTGAACTGCTCCTCTGTTATGGGGATGAATGGCAACTTACTAGGGAGAAAAATCTGTGCCCAACAAACCTCATACACACAAAATATGGCTCTGGTGAAGCCCCAGCGCCACTGCAGACCCAGCTCCTGTCTTGACTTTCTTTTTGGGGGGAGCGGTGGTGGCGGTAAATTTTAATTTTATTTTTTTAATTAAAGTATAATTAACATACAGTGTGCTATTAGTTTCAGGTGTATAATGTAGTGATTGAACAATTCTATGCATTACTCAGGGCTCATGGAGACAAGTGTAGTCTTGATCCCCTTTATTTCACCCATCCCCCACCCACTGCTCCCAACTCGCGACCACCACTTTGTTCTCTGTATTTAAGAGTCTGGTTTTTGTTATTGTTGTGTTTCTTTCTTTGTGTCTTCTTTTGTCTTGTTTCTTCAATTCCACATATGAGTGAAATCATATGGTATTTGTCTTCCTCTCACTGACTTGTTTCACCTAGCATTACACCCTCTGGCTCCAACCATGTTGTTGCCAATGACAAGATTCCATTCCGCTCGGTAATATTCCGCTGTGTGTGTGTATAGAGAGAGACCACATCTGTATCCATTCATCATCCGTCAGTGGACCCTTGGGCTGCTTCTGTATCTCGGCATTATAAATAATGCTGCTATAAACAGAAGTGTTCATATAGCTTTCCAAATTAGTGTTTTCATTTTCTTTGGGATATATCCCCAGTAGTGCAATTACTGGATCGCACAGTAATTCTAGTTTTAATTTTTTGAGGAACCTCCACACTGTTTTCCATACCAGCTGTACCAATTTGCATTCCGACCGATGGGGCACGAGGGGTCCCGTTACTCCACATCCTCGCCGGCACTCTTTACTTCCTGTGGTTTTAGTTCTGGCCATTCCGACTGGTGTGAGGTGGTATCTCACTGAGGTTTTGATTTGTATTTCCCCGGTGATGAGTGATGTCGAGCATCTTCTGGTGTGTCTGTGGCCCATCTGTCCGTCTTCTTTGGAGAAATGTCTATTCAGGTCCTCTGCCCATCTTTCAATTGGACTATTTGTTCTTTTTGTGTTGAGTTGCATAAGTTCTTTACATATTTTGAAGACGAACCCCTTTTCGGATATGTCATTTACGAATATCTTCTCCCATTCCGTAGGTTGCCTTGTCACTTTGTTGATGGTTTCCTTCGCTGTGGAGAAGCTTTTTATTTTGGTGTAGTTCCAATAGTTTAATTTTGCTTTTGTTTCCCTTGCCTGAGGAGACAGATCTAGAAAAGTGTTTTTACGGCTGATGTCAGAGGAATTACTGCCTGTGTTTTCTTTTAGAAGTTTCATGGCTGCAGGTCTGACATTTAGGTCTGTAATCCATTTTGAGTTTATTTTTGTGGGCGGTGTAAGAAAGTGGTCCAGTTTCATTCTTTTGCATATGACCATCCAGTTTTCCCAACACCCTTTATTGAAGAGACTTTCCTTCTCCGACTGCCATCAGCCATCAGGCTCCTGTCTTGGGTTTCTTGTGTGAACAAAAGAACCATCCTATGCAAACCTCACAAAATATGCCAACATACCCTCATTTCATTTCAGCACACATTTCTCCATTACCGTCTCTGTGCAAAGCATGAAAAAGAGACCTTGCAGAGGAGGACTGGGGTGGTGAGGTCCTACAGGAGACCCACTCTGCGGGGACACTGACCTCATAGATATGGCCCTCGCACCCAGACAGAACACTGTGTTGTGTCATCCAATAGGGACAGGGTCCAGTTGTTCTGAGGCAGGAACGAGCTCTCCTGCCTGAAGCTTTCTGGACCAGCCTTGTGAAGTGGGTTTGACTATGCCAGAGGGATGATCCAAGCAGAAGGGACAGCATGAGCCAGATTTAGAGCCCTGTGTGGGGTTCACCAGTCACGGGTTCCTTTAGAGCCCTTGAACATGGCCTGTCTGATTTGAGACGCACTGTAGGTATAAAATGCACATTAGGTTTCTGCGGCTTAGCATGACTATGTGTGTGTGTGTGTGTGTGTGTGTGTATACACACACACACAAACATACAGACACTTTTTATATTGATTCCATAGGGAACGGTGATATCTTGGATTAAATAAACTATACGATTAAAATTAATTTCATCTGCATCTTGCTACACCTGTGGCTTCCCTGTTCTTCCTATTGAACAGTGCTGGTCTGTAGTCAGAGAGGTCTGGGGTATGAGGTGTGCTGATGCCCCTCCTCCCAGCACCCTCTTGCCCTTGACCTCTAGCTGCTCATATCACCTCTCCTTCACTCCCCTGGGACCCCCGTTCCTGCTGAGTTGCAAGAGTGATGAGGGCTCTCTGCCTCACTTCCTTCCCTGTCCAGTGTCCTGCTCGATGTCCGAGTTTACCGGGGAGCGCACATGGAGTGGCCAACTCACTGTCTGCCTCCCCCACGTCAGGTGCACCAGGCAGGGGTTCTTGGACAGCCTGAATGGGGGAACAGAGGCCCCAACAAGGGTGGCAAGGAGGGAAGTTTGTGGCTGACACCTAGTTAGTGAGATTAGACCGAAATTAGACTGAAATTAGACCCCTCTTGGAACCACCTGCTCCATCCACACCCCTCCTACGAGTGGAGGAGAAGAGATGCTGATGAGGTGCACCATGCTTATGGTGATGGGCAGCCCCAGGCCCACCCCAGGGAGACGGGAGTTCTGTGGGCTCTGGCCATGTGCTGGGCATGGCCCCGGGTCCCAGCAGAACCACACTTCCACGACCGGGGCGTCCACACCGCCAAATGGGGTGGGGTGGGGGCAGGATTTGCTCTCACACTCACCTCCA